AGCAAGAGAAAGTAGGTAGTAAAACAGCCAATTGTAGATAGAAATAGTCTTTGTAAATAGAAATTGAAGTCCGCAATGAGTCCGAAACGAGAGTGAGTGAGCGAGTAAGCAAAGAACCGGAGGGAGTCCAAAAGGGTTAATAGTCCGGCCCAGGCTTGTCCGGGTGTTGACGGTGAAAACTGTCGATAAGCTCTTGAGCTTCTAAGTCATCAGCGCCAACCCACGTATACTGCTCGTCAGTATCTTCGTAGCCCAACCACTCCACATAGTACCGGAGCTGAACCCGGTAACGACGGTCGATTTTAGAGTCAACCACAGCCTTCACCTCGAAGTGTTGTTCACGGAGCCGTAGTGGTAGTATTTAGCCTAAATCCAGTAGGTATACCTAGGAAATGCATTGCCTAAAATACTAGGTACAGTCAGAGACTATGTACACCTAGAACTTTAGCCTAGTAATTGTCCCTAGGCCAAAGCATTATTTTAATAGGAATATATATTATTACTCTTTATCTGGTATTCTATTACCTAAGCTAGTGCACCCATTTATATAATGTTTTTAATGTGGAACCATTTTTGATTGCCATCAGTACTTTTGATGGCTATATTACAATACATCATTTTTGTCCAAATTAGGATTGTTATTGACACATGCCTTCCCAACTATATACCGGGTCATCGGCCTGAAGAAAAGGAGTTTGAAGTATTATATATGTATTACTATTAATATTATAGGTATTATATAACCATTTATTCCATCATTGATGCTATATTGATTCAGACACCCTGAGGTGATTCTAGCCTAGATCACTGGGTACACCTAGGCTAGGTACATTTAGTATCCTAGGCAATGCATTTCCTAGGTGCACCTAAGCCAGGAGGCTAATTCTTACAGCTATGGGTGTGTTCACCATCGACTTCAACCGCAGCCGGAGGCTCGTCCGTACGAGTCGGGAACAGATTAGGATAGTGCTTTTCGAGTTGAGAAACGTGAAAGACCGGATGGACTCCGCGAAAGCTTTTGAGGCAAGCAGAGTGTATAGGAAGCGGAGGAGGGTTTGGCGATGATCTCGTAGGGTCCAAGGTACTGCTCAGAGAATTTGGCGGTAGGACGAGTGGTAGAAATATGTTCAGCGCTAACGTAGACACTTTCACCAACCTCGAAGATCGGATCCGGAGTGCGCTTGCCATCTGCCGTCTCTTTGTACCGCTCCTGAGCGGAGGAGATCTGTTTTCGAAGAAACTCGTGAAGGGATTCCAAGTCAACGACGTAGTCCTTAGCGTAAACATTAGCCACATCTCGTTCAGGATGAATGGTAAGAGATGGATTGTAGCCTTTGTTCGCGAAGAACGGAGAGACTCCAGTTGACGTGTTAGGTGCGTTGTTGTAGGCGAATTCAGCAAGCGGAAGCAGGCGGTCCCAGTCGTCCTGTTGGTACGAGACGTATATGCGGATGAATTGTTCGAGCGCTCGACCTGTCTGTTAGCTGACGGATGCCAACCCAAAGTGTAGTGAAGCTCCATGTTAAGTAACTCGCCTAATGACCGGAAGAAGGCGGACATGAACTCCGATCCACGGTCAGAGGACACATGGGAAGGGACTCCGTGTTTAGAGAAGACGTGAATAAGGAAGAAGTGGGCTAGATCTTTTGAGTTGACATGTTTGTCGCAAGGAATGAAGATAGCCTGTTTGGAGACGCGATCAACGATGACTAGAATAGAGTCAAACTCGCCAGATTTTGGTAAGCCCTCGATGAAATCCATTGAAATAGAATGCCAAGATCGTTCCGGCACTGGAAGGGGTTTAAGTAACCCAAACGGTTTATGTCGAGGCTTCTTGTTGCGTTTACAGAGAACGCAAGATTGCACATAGTCACAGACAAAGGTCCGCAACTCCGGCCAGGTATAGTCGCGTCGTACGAGTTCGAGAGTGCGATTTTGCCCGAAATGGCTAGAAAGAATATGGTCGTGTTTATGTTGAAGGACACGTACCCGCAATGCATCGGAGCCTGGACCGGTTCCGACCAAAGGGACATAGATACGGTCATCAAGTCGTAGAAGAGACCTGAATCGTCAACAGACCAGCGCGAAGAAGAACCTGACTTTGCAGCCTTTAGACCAGCAGAAGCAGTGGAGTCGTTCGGAAGAGCTGCGAGGATGTCTGTGTGCAGCTTCTCAGTATCCATCACGACCGTTGCTCGGAGGACAACATCCTCGAGATACGATGCGCATAGAGACGTTGTAAGTTGTTCAGTAGCGAAAATTGGGCACAAATTTTGCGGATTAACCTTACGGTAATCATTATCCCCCTCTTTAGGGTAGACGTCCCATCGTCTAGTTAATGCATCGGGTTTTCCGCCCAGACGGCCCGGACGGAAGCGGATCACCATATTAAAATGGCAAAGGTACTCGGACCAGCGGACCTGACAACAAGTAAGAATCTTGGTAGTAGAGAAGTACTCAAGATTCTTGTGATCGGTAACGACATCGATCGGAAGCGGAGCGCCCTCCAGGTAGTGGCGCCAGATAGTGAAGGCATCGAAGATAGCCAACAACTCTTTGTCGTGCACGTCGTAGTTGAGTTCAGCTGGACCAAGGGTTCGGCTGCGGAAGGCAACCGGATGAATGTTGCCGTCATCCCCGTTGATAGAGAGGATAGAGGCGATGGCATAGTCGGAGGTGTCCGTTTCGACAGTGATTTGCCGACCAGGCACCCAATGGTGAAGTACTGGGGACTGTTTAAAGGCATTCTTAAGCGTATTAAACGCCGCCTCGCAGTCGTCCGACCAGTTCCACTTGGTATTGGCTCGTGTGAGACGAGTCAACGGAACGGTAGTGTCGGAGTAGTAAGGGATGAAACGCCGATAGAAATTACAGAACCCAAGAAAAGACTGTACGTCTTTGACCTTGCGTGGCACAGGCCAGTCGACGATAGCCGCAACTTTTTCCGGGAGACATCCGGAAACCATCAGGTGAAAGGATATAGCCCAAGTACTCACAAGACTCCACACTGACACTGCAGGCAATGGAGCATATTCCGCCCTGGAATATGTTGAGAATATTATGAATATTACAGGCTGTATTCATTCCATTTTCTAGGCTGGAATATGACAGGAATATCCGTGGAATATTCTCAATATTCTCACCATCTGTCATGTATATGACAGCCCGGAAAATGTTGGGCAGATCTGTGGAATATTCTCAATATGCCTCATGTTTTCATTCCATATTCCGGCCTGGAATATATCACATGTTCCAGGCTGGAATATTGTGATCAGATTCTGGGACTATTATTGATTGGGATTCTGATTTGGATTCCATAAAAACGTGATATACTAGTACCACTACACAATCACTGGTTACTAGTACTGTGAAGTGAAGACTAACCTGAACCAAATTGGAGTCACCTCACTTACAGGAAGATTCTCAGATTGTTAATGAGTTTTATCCAACGGGGACATTTCAACAACACTCTCCACCACAGATATGGTTGGACCTTGCTCGAAAGCACTAGCGTCTGCGCAATTGAGCCACACCGCTTCAACGCCAATCCCTTGACCCGGCCCAGTGCACCCCCCAGCTCGACCTCACACATTGGTGGAAGCGACAATCATCCAACTCAACTGCATCCCACCGCTGGCTTGCGATTTGTCAATGACAAGCTTATCATTGAGGCCAAATTTGCACTGGGGCATGCCTGACAAGTAGGTCCTCATTTGGACATACCTGTCAACATCCGCACCATCATTTCCCCACCATTGTTCTTCGACCATTGAATAATTCACCGTTCGCCGTTCGCGGCAGCCGCCGATCCGGCCGTGCGTTTTGAGGGCGCCCAAGGAGGCCGTTTCGAGGCGGGCGGGCGGGAGATGGCGGTGGGCCACGGTAGGCCAAAAGCCCGCTGCCAACGGGCACGTGTCCGCGTGAACCCTCCACTGTCAACCACGCGCGAGACCGTGGCCGCCCGCGGCTCCGCGCGCCCTGACGCGTTTTCCCGAGCTGGCGGTCGACGCTGGCTTGTCGTGAGCAAGAGTCAAGAACGGGGCTGGGGCCCAACTTGTGGTCTGACCGCCGCGACTTGCTCCCTGACGCGGTTTGCGGCTGCTGTTGAGGCTGCTGCATTCCACCCAAACGGAGCTGCAGTAAAATCGAGAGACGATTATGGACCATTCGTTGGTTTGGCTGTGTCGTAGCGCGTTTCGAAGGACCCGCCCCCCCAGAGCGTCGAGAAATGTAGAGTCTCTGATTTCGGCGCGTGCACAGCCACAACGTGAGTCGAATGGTATATAAACCACCAGTGTTTCTGTGTTGAGCTATTGCGAGATGGAGTTTGGATGGCGCGGATAAAGCAGAAGAAGATGCAGGGGCCAAATGCTTGACCCAGACACAGAACGACTCATTCCGCCCCGCCTTCGACGAAGAAACGAGTTGTGGGCCTCGGCTTCCACTAGACAGAGCCAGGATAAAATCAACGGGCGCTCGCGATGAAGGAGACGTAGCCTGTACTCCATGGGACGTTCCAGAGGACCAACGAAAACACGACACTGAGAAACGGCAATTTTGTGATTTCGCAGGTGCACAGCCACAGCTTCGAAAATGAAGTCGTTTTATATCGGTGCTGGAATAGCGTTGGATGGAGGTGGAGAACTTGTAGCGTATTCCAGGCCATGTTGTCGCCCCAATGGGAGACAATGCTTCTCGAAGCGGAAAGCTGGGCTGGTCGCGAAAGGCGAAGCACGGGCAAAATATCGAATTCCCGAGGCAGAAGAGCGGGAGGAGCAGGTCGGAGTAGATCGATTGGCCGCTGGTCGATATTATGTTGCGATGAACGACCACCGAATGGTCTTACTCGAGAGAGAGAGTCGATTAGATTATACGCAGTGTCGAAGAAGGAGAATGTCGACATTGGCAACAGCCACGAAGGAGGAAAATGTGGAGTAATCTTGGTGCTTTTGGAGTTGACTCCAAAGAAACTCGTTGTCGGGCTTCGTTGGGTTTCGAGCCTAGAAAAGCCTGACTCCTAGCTAGACATACGAAATCAGTCCTGCAGCAAAAGCCCATTGGCGGGGCGTTTACACACCTCGTTACCGGGTCTGAGACCAGTTTCTCCGGCGAGAAGATCTCCGTCGTGCCAAAGTGGCTCATTCCAGCCCAATAACGTCTCCCAGCTCAGCAAAAGATGGTCTTGGTACTCCGTCTCGAGGGCAGAAGTCAACTTCCAACTCAGCAGTGTTCCGCAAGAAGATTGTGGTGGAGCAGAGATAAAAAGGAATGAGGAGGATGAGGGGACGAGGTATGGGTCCTGCACAGTCAGAGTTAGCTCGAAAAGAACAAGTAGAAGACATACCGCTGTATCCAGCCGTTTTTCAAATGAAAGTCTGCTTGTCGTTGCGTTGTCGCTCGCTCACGACAACATCATTCATGAAGCTGAATGGCCCGGGTGCTCGACCTAAGAGTGAAGAGCGTTAAATGCTGAGCGGCGAGCTGCTCTGTCGCGGCTTCTTGGAATTTGCGGTATATATCGCCCTTCTTGCCCGTCCCTTTCAGAGTTGCTGACGCTCCACGCCAGTCGCCAGCATTCGATTCGTTTGATCTTCGAGCAGGGCAAAACCACGCTCGAGGGTCTTGGACAGTCGGTGCAGAGGCATACACAGCCGTGATTCGGGGTCTGAGTGCAAGCATTGTTTTAGCGTGTTGGTCGCAACAGGGGAGGAGGCTGGAAGGAGGAAGAAGGCGAGTCGGAAAATGAAGCTCCTGGGTTTGCGATTCGGCGAGAAGCGATGTCAAACGGCTGAAAAACATTTTAAAGAGAAGGAAACGAAGTAAAGAAACAACACCTCATATCACCAACGGCACCCTCGATGTCTCCAGCTCCCGAGACGTCCGTCGTCGTTGATGACGTGCGGGTTATTGAATTTAGATAAGGTTGCATTTTCATGTTTTAGGTCCTGGGCGCTCAGTCAGGCTATGTTTTTGCATGATTTTGTAGGGCACTGCAAACTGTAGGAGAGCCAATACTCCAGTTGACCAAGCCGGATGAGTTCGGGTCCTTCGGGAAGGCCGTGACTGCCGATCTGTTACGCGTCACATGATGGGATCAACGATCCGCTGGATTCTTCTCCGTCACCTCCGCCCTTCCCTTCCCTTCCACTCCCTTTCAAAAGGAGACGTCTGCGGCCTCGCCCAGCAGCCTCCAACGCCACGGTCCCAACATGCATCATCGGCCACACCCGACGGTCCGCTCATCGAGTTCTATATCAACATATGCCGCCCAAACTGGCAGTCCTCGAATTACACCACGTACGAAACGTATTTCACAGGCATCCCGCAAACAGTCGGAGGTGTGTCATGAGGCGGTGAGGGCTCGTGCAGTGGAGGCACCGTCTTGGGATAGGCCATTGCGGCAGACGGTGAAAGGACCGCGACCGCCGACTTGCCCAGCCGCTTTGCTCGACGACCTGGCCAGTGTCCCGGCCCTAGAAAAGTAAGCACCCTCCCTTTCTTCATCGTTGGCGCACTCTCTTACCCCCGTTTGAAGCCCTCTTCGGCGTTCACGACTGGTTTGGTGCCCTGACGTGTTTCCCGAGCGGGCGGTCGACGCTGGGGCCAATCTGCAAGAAATCGTCGCCTCGGTATTCAACTGTGATGGACGACTACAATGCGGGTAAATCATCTGAGTCGCCTGCGGGAAGAAACTGAGGTGAAGCTGTGTTGAATCTTGAGGTCATAAATGAAGCATAGTTGCGAACAGTGACTTTTTGCCTGAATGAACATGATTCAGTCGGTTGCGAATTTGGCCTTCGTCATGCTTAGTCAGAGTCTTCCCAGTCAGACTCTGACAAATCACTCTTCGGGTCACAGTGCCGGTCACACTTTCTCTACGCACGACCTCAACACGAGCCGGACGACACGCTAGGGAGAGAGGATTCTGACCTCAACGTCGCTGGCGGCAAGCTCCAGAACGACAACGAGGGCACACTTGAGTGGCGCGGCACAGGCCGCTCGCAGTCAGCGACAACTGCACTACAGCAAGACAGCTAGCTCCGCGCGCGAGCCGACAAACCGCAGCCAACGACAGCGACAAGTAAACCCATCGCCCGGCGCGCGCGCTAGTTCATCAACTAGCGTGAGCGGCACGCAGCTTACTTTGCCTCAGCAACAAGTCGGCCCCGTCCTGCCAACAAGACAGCTGGCTGCACCGACAGGCTCAGCGAACAGCAACAAGTCTAGCAGTAACAACGATGCCGTTACTCTCCCCATCAACCGCAACCAGCGGAATATCAGCACCATCTCCCGCCAAACCACCGCGCAAGCACTGGCGCCAACTCGTTCCCTCCGCGCTGACCTTGGCAATAACAGTCACCGCCCTCATCGTTCGAACCGCCGCTCGCACCAGAGGTAATATCTCTCACAAAAACGGCAACAAGGGGTAAGCTGCTTTCTGCGAACCGACGTAAGTAGTGATTTCAGCACGGGTTCAAAGCTTACTTGTTGCTTTCTGCCCAGCTAGCGCGAACCCCAACGCGCGCGACACAATCAAGTCCCCAAAACGGCAAGCAACTCCGGCCCTCCAATTCCCTTGCGCCGCGCCATGAAAACGGGCCCGGCAATTGTCGTCTGGAGCAAGTCAGCAGTCGCAAGCGGCCAGACGGCTGCGAACTCACCGATTATGCCGCTCCTCGTCCCGCTCGGCGAAGACAGCTTGTGACAGCAAAGGCAAACCCTCCGAGAACGGCTAGGATACGCCTGAACTAGTCCGACCTTGGGTAAGTGGACTCAGAACTTGAAAAGACTATAAAACTGACCTTGTCGTCATAGTGCGCGCGCAAGAACCTGAGCGCATTGTCTTGCCCCAATCGCGAGGGGAACTATAAGCTGCCAAACGAGTCGTGTCCATCGCACAATGCTGAACGAGTCGGGAAAACGGGTCTTTTGTCAGGTCAGTCGTGATTAGAGGCAAGGAAAGCTAGACTTACCAAATCAAACCAGCCATAGAGTCCTCGCCATGAAAACGAGCCTGACTCACCCAGATCTGGAACGTCTCGGTTCACAAGTCCGCTCCGGCCAACCATCCGGGGATGACGCTGCAAATCTGGTAAGTTAACACAGATATCGAAAGCAATAGCAAACTTACCTTGGTTGTCGTAGAGGGCAACAACAACGCTGCATAAACAACACCCAAAGTTTACCGTGCGGGCACAAACTTCATTGCCGTGGTAAGTCAGGGAAGCGGGTCTCTTGTTCGGTAAGTCACATTACAGGCACGGGAAATTAGCCCAGAGTCAACACGTCCACCATTGAGCCCAAATTTGCGCAAGCGGGCAACTCCATCAGCAATGGCAAACGAGTCGGGTAAACGTGTGCTATGCCAGGTGAGTTGTGATTCGAGGCAGGCGAAGCTATACTCACCAAACCAACCAAGCCAGCTCAGAACCAACCCCAACCCCAGCAACGAGCTAACAAGGTCTTGTCGCTGGTGCACCCAGAGACATGCAGCGAAACTCACAAAGAGTGATCCAGCACCAAACTCCGCCACCACCAGTCAGCGCCTGGGCGCAAATCATCACGAACAAGTGGAATCATCAAGTATGCCGACCAAAGGGGCAGGACCTGCCAATTTGTTGAACTTGGCTGCGCTATGGGAAAGTAAGTGTGTGTTGGCGTGGTCAGGAGTAAACTCACCAGTTTCTAGCTCCACCACAAACTCAAAGAGCGCCCACTCCCCAGATATAGTATCCATGGCACCGAGTCCGGAATATGTTAGGTCAAAACCACGAAGGAGGAGGAAGACGAGATAAAAAAGAGGGAGAGAGAGAATGCTACAAGAAAATATTGAGTAGTGTATGTGTAAATGGTAGACCATGATAGGCACTAAGTAACAACATAGTCAAGGAGTTGGTGAGGATAGACAGCAAGGTCAACATATGAGAGCATAGGACTGGGATGGAATTGTGGGGAGGGTGCTGGTCCAATAAGGATTTGGGCAATGATGTGATCATGCTGGGGGAAAGCCCTCTACAACCAGCAAGGGATCCGGAGCGGTCATGCTGAGGCAAGCCCGTATATAACCAGACTGTCGGTCGTGCTGTGGAAAAGCCCTCTACAACCAGCGTGAGCGGTCGTACTGAGGCCAGTCCATATACAACCAGACTGTCGGTCATGCTGGGGGAAAGCCCTCTACAACCAGCAAGGGATCCGGAGCGGTCATGCTGAGGCAAGCCCGTATATAACCAGACTGTCGGTCGTGCTGTGGAAAAGCCCTCTACAACCAGCGTGAGCGGTCGTACTGAGGCCAGCCCATATACAACCAGACTGTCGGTCATGCTGGGGGAAAGCCCGTTATAACCAGCAAGAAAGTTATACAGATACTAGGGAGTATCAAATGAGCATTGACTATATAGATTACTAGTATCTCACTCACAGTGGGATATAACCATTTCAGCCAGGGCAGTAATTGGTGCTGTTGCAGTTGCGACAGACATCGAAATTCATTGGCTGAGGCAGTGGTCCAGCAGCTCAGTGATGGGACATTTTGGACTAACACAAAGTTCAGCATGGAATATTGGGACTGGCTACTGCGCACCTCCTCCTTGCTGCCTGGCAGCCTATTCCACTACCTGCAAGGGCGGCAGGGCACATGACAAGCAGTAGTGCACGTGACAAGCAGTAGTCACGTGACAAGGACTGGATGTGCAGCTATCTATCGGCCACCCACAATAGCTTTAAGTGCTGGACACAATGGGCAAGTAGCACAGGGTAGAAGTGATAACAACCCAAGTCAATGACACAGTTGGATTGCAAGGGTTGACAGTTGCAAGCTATCAACCCTTGCAATCCAACTGCGTCATCGAGGCGCCCCAAGAAGAGGCAGTGGGTGGTGATCGATATGCCATTGCTCTCCGCTGCTGTGCACACTGCAACGGCCAGGTTGAGACAAGACACGCCATACAAAAGCTGATAGATGATAGTCGTGGATGGATGAATATCGGTGCTGCCGCCACAGGCAGAGACACTATAGATGAGAAGTGACTTTGCAGGCAGTGAAGAGCTTGATGCTCTAGGTGGACTACACAGAAATGGTCTGAGAAATATCCAAGTTAACAAAGAACAAAATACTCACACAAAAGGAGCAAGCTATAAAGCTGGACCAGACAGCCTGAGCATTCAAGTTCCAGCCCTTCAGATCTCTGATCGTTTTGAGGCGGCGTAAGGACGCGGGCATTGTACCAGCAGAAGATTGGAAGCTGGGATAACCTGCCCTCTCATCAGCCCCACCCACGCTCCAAATCCACAATTACACACCATGTTGTCCATGGGTGGTTGTAAACAGCAGCTGCACAAATGCGGGGATCCGGTCGGGCAATGATCGCTGCATCCGCCGTCCTCTCTTCCTAGGTCGTCAGGCTCGTGTCGAGGTCGTGGTAGGTGTGGAAAGCGTGAGAGAAACCCCGGCACTGTGACCCGAAGAGTCACGATGATTTGTCAGAGTCTAACTGGAAGACTCTGACTAAGCATGACCAGTTCTAACGATTACTACTACTGTCGGGCTGCATTGGAGAAGGAGGAGGCAGAGTATTCGAGCCCGCTCGCAGTCCAGCACGGACAATACAGCCGTGTCTCATCTTGCCTCTGGCCGCAAATGGCACACTACTCAGCTGCGGCCGCCGGGCGCTAACTCAACCATAAGCACCGAATGAGAATCTGGCTCAGTGTGCTAACATTTTACATTGAGGATGCTAACTACCTCCCTCCAGCAATCGGCCAAGGTCTTCCAAAACATCCCGAAACGCTTCCCACATCACGGCTGCCCTCGAAACCCATCAAATCGATACTGAACTCAGCCGCTAGGACGACCCCAGGGTGGCTGGGCCAGTGGAGAGGCCGTTGGTGAGGTGCGAGGCAGGGAGACGCGCAACACGTGCGAGCATGTGAGATCGACACGCCAGATGTCAACGCGACCGCGCAGCCTTGCGCCCGTGCGGACAGCGGCAAGCGGCAAGCGAGGCAAGGTTGACGTCAGGGACGTTGGACGTTGGCGGAGAGACTTGCGCGGATGGCGGCGGCGAGGTTCAGGCTGGCTCAGAACTCCTCTTCAGCGGTTCGGAGGAGGAAACAACGAACGCCAAGTGATGTTGCAGAAGCTTCACCCATACATGAAGCGTGGATGGTTTGCGAAATTGGTGTGTCGCAGTGCATTTCTCTTAGACATCTACTAACTTCGTGCACAGCTGAAAGACGGTTACCTACACCACGCGCGGGGTGAAATCGAGAGAGCCAGTGGCGAGCAGCTTCGGCATGATGAGGTTGGTGAAGAGGAACAGGCCAACGTGCCTCTCGAGACCTGAAATGATATGAGAGCTGGGAAGAGGAGACAGGAGATGAGCACTTAGTATGCACATGAATCGGCTCAGCCGTGGGGTGGGATGTTGGTGGTGGCAAAACTTGTGCAGATGGCAGTAGGTTCAGACAGCTGTACAAATGGTCAACGCACCACTCGTCATTGTGCCCTGTAATGACAACAAAAGGGTGATGCATATGACTGCCATTCCCAAGAACCTATTCCAAAGAACTGGCCCCGCATGAGGGCTACGTTATTGGGTTAACACCGGCAAACGCAAGGGAAGAGTCAAAGCGTGCCACGCGCTCATGAAAACACGTCGCGTTGCGTTGTGACCAAACAGAGTCAGGTGCTTGTGACAAATGGCTTAAAACAGCTTAAAACAAAATTGAAGTTTGTCCCGTTGGGATATATAATTAAGGGCCAAAACCTCACACATACCACAAGTAGACTCTAATGGACGTCATATATGCATAACATTGAATCTGAGTGCCCTGTGCAATGTGGTGCGGCGCTCACGAATGCGCGTGACGGTGCTCCTCACGTCACGTCACAGCTTTGATCCATCCCCATGCCCTCGTTTCCCGACCCGCCGAAGGCTCCGAACTTCACTGCCAACTCTTCAACATGCTTACTACGGGGATTGTGCTAGCTTGCAGTGCATGTGAACGCCGTGAAAACGCGTAAAATGCTCATGAAGGGGATGCAGCATTGTTTGGGGAGGGGGAATCACGCGTAAAACGCGTCTGGGCGCCCTGGTGCGTGGCCTGAGCATCCATATCGACATGTCTAATATCTCCATAGCTGATATTGGGTCTTCTTTTGCCCACACCAGGCTTTGGAACCGCACGGCGCCAAGCTTTGCTGCTTTTTCTCGGAGCCAGGCCATAGTTCGATTGGACAGGCCCTGGCATTGCCGAGTAAGCCATGGATTGCACTCTATTCAAGGAGAAGTTAGCGCGGAGGCAAACTGAATCCGACAACTCACCAAAGTCAGAGTCAGACTCCGCGTTCCGTTACAAATGTCGTGACTTCATTTTTTTTTTGACCTGCTTCGATCGACCGACAATCTCCTGGCAGCAGCCCCTCCCTTTGCCCACCGCCCAAGACATACCCGGGCCATCGACGGCAAGCACCAGCCAACAACACCCATCTATCGGCAGTATCCGGACCACCTAATAATCACGACAACTTGGCCTTTACGCAAAATTACCAACGTCGGCGCTGCTGCCACGAAAATGGACATTGTGACGACACATTCTCTCTGGCAGCTCTTGTCGTTTGCCATTGCGCTGCTCACAGCTGGGTCTCAAGCGCATTCGTTGCTGGGGTTGTCGTGAATGCTATAGACATCTCACAACTGCGCGCTCATCGGGCTTGCCAACTTTAACACAATCGTGCGACCTCAATCCCGCTCTCGCGTCCGTCAAACCAACAGGTCGGTGCTTTCGTCGCATTCGCCAACGTTCTCCAAGCAAGTCAGACGATGACAAGACTGCAAATCCTCAGGAGCACACCTGTAAATGCTACACTTGCCTGGCGGACACTGAAATCTCCCTTGTTGCCGATCCCAGCACAAAGTTCAGCCGGCACCGCAAAAATCGAGCTCGGCGTGTCAACACCAAGCCCACAAACAACGCTCCAGACCGGTTCAATGCGGCCCAGGAGCCTCCCGCTCCAGCGATTTATGCATCGGACATGCAGGATTGGCTGTGAGTATTGTTTTTTATCTTTGTCGTTTCACTCACTCGACGATATATAGCAGGTTTGGGCCGCCTAATGATTCCTCACTCGTAACCTGCAGTGCAATACCTCTTCAAGCTTCCGCTGGCTCGACACACCCATCTCCCAAATATCGACGCCTTCGACAGACCTTTACGAGCCTCCACGCTCACGGTACGTGCTTTATCGGTATTCTGGACTGCTTTCACTGATGTCATCTCCGTCGTCTGCTTCCTCGACAGCAGATTTGCTCGAATTTGGACGGCCTGGAATGTCGGCTTTTAAGTTGGCGTCGGACTCCCCAGAGTGCTGAGTGCGGCTGGTCGGCCCGCCGTTCGCGGCAGTGCGCAGACTCCACCTTGAGTTTTGAGGGCGTGAGGGATGGCAGTTTCGAGCCAGGGCCCGATTCGGGCGGGTGGGAGGATCGGAGATGGCGGTCCGATGTCAACGGGCACGTGCCCGTGTCTTTTTTTTTTTTTTTTTTGAATCACATTTATATACCGGTACAAGTATGCGTGTGCTACTAAGGCGCGGTGCTCGGAGAGCAGGGGCCGGGTTGGGTTGAGTGTCATTTGCTGCCCTGTGGGGGTTGATGTATTGGTTTCCGTGTACGAAGTTGAGCAGCGTCTGATTCGCTGACGTCCCATGAGTTGTTTGGCAAGCGTAGAGCATGAAGGTCATAGGGGGGGCCATAATTGGGCGGGTTGGCAGTGAGGTTCGTGTGTAAGAGGGCTATCCCGCCGCTCTTGAACATCTTCAGGTTGTCCTTCCATCCATCTAACCATGATCCTCGATGCCGCCCGCATCATCTTCATCGTCAGACATGTCCGCCTCCGGTTCGTCCTCCAGCGTGGGGAGGGCCATCTCTTGGCGTGGTCGTCCAGTCTTTGTGAATGCACCTGATTCCTCGAGGAATTTGGACAGCGCTGCTATCCCTGAAGGTGTGCCGAGGATCTCCGTCATCGCTATGTCCCTTGATGCCTTCTTTAGGTGGTGTCGGTGTTGGCTGTAGCGTGGGCATTCACGCAGAATGTGTGTGCGTGTCTGTAGCTCCGCCCCACAGGGGCAGTGAACGTTCTCATCCGGGACAAAACGGCTGTAGTACTCGCCTGTGTATCCGTGACCCGTGCGGCATTGGATTAGACGACCAAAGACCTCCCGTAAGCAAGCACAGTTGCTGCTGATGACGGTTTTGGTTCACCTCAGCAGTTGATTCGGAGTCTGTGGTGGGGCAGAGTTGTCAAAGAGAAGGTTCTATGTGTCACGGTAAGCCTTCTTTGCAGCTAGAGACTATTTGCAAAGACTTACTATGATATTTAGCGATTTGGGCACTAAGATGAAAAGGCCGGCGCGGAGGGAGCGGCGTTGATGGATGCTGAGTGCGGCTGGTTGGCCCGCCGTTCACGGCAGTGCGCAGACTCCACCTTGAGTTTTGAGGGCGTGAGGGATGGCAGTTTCGAGCCAGGGCCCGATTTCGGCGGGTGGGAGGATCGGAGATGGCGGTCCGATGTCAACGGGCACGTGCCCGTGTCTTGTCACCTCTTCTCTGCCCAACTGCCAACACGCTCGAGACCACCCGCCCGCCCCGACGCGTTTCCGTGAGCGGGCCGCTTGTCGCTAGGCCCAATGAGCAAGAAGCATGCGGGCCGCACTCCCTGTATGGCTTGCTGGCCGCCGCGGCAGCTGCCTTCTGCACCTCCTTCTCCGTCCACACTCGAGACCGCCCTGACGGGTTTACCCAAACTGGCCCTCGTCTCTGGGCCCAGTGAGCAAGAAGAACGCGGGCCGCACTTGCTGTGACCGCTGCGACCTGCTTTCTGGTGCGCCTCCATGTCTCCGGCTGCCCTTGGGTTACTATCGATGGCTTTATTTGTACAATCTGCTCAACTTGGACGAGGCCAACTCGACGCCGGAGACCAGGGAAGACACTATACATGCGGTCAAGGTGCGTCGTTAATAACATCCCGCTTCCTGCATTTTGACCCGTATTAGGAAAAACGCATTGCGTATGAAAACCTCAGTATGTTCCTTGCGTCGCTGGGTGGCGCCTGTGTCCAGGACGGCATCAACCTGAGGTTCCTCTCAACCGTCATCCCTCGACCAGGTAATTTTCTGCCTTTGTGCGTATTCCTATTTCACTGAGAGATTCCTGTAGTTTAGCCGTCCTCAAGCTCATAATTGAGAGCACGCCCATCAACTCTGAAGAGATCATGAGTATCGACATCAGCGGAACGATGCATTCGTTAGCATCTTTCATTGGTCGTTTTAATGCGTATGCGGCTTTGCGACTTCGACTCCGGTTCTGCATTCTGTGTGATGCTGTTTGCGACCGCGCGGATCTGTTGACAATCCGGCGAGATAGTCCTGCTCGCCAAAGGATTCTCGATATCTTGGCTGAGTGGATGCAGACATTGCCAGAGGTATAATCCCTTTGGTCCAGGTTTGTCGTTGTTGATGTATTCGCAGATCCCCCGAGCACCTTGCGCAGACGGAGCTAAATTTTGCTTGTCTGAGGACTTGTGTTAAGCTTCTCGACCGGTTGCAGATACGACCTCCAGAAGAAGCTGCAGCCGGCGACGATAGTGCACATTCAGTCTCGCGCTTATGCCCCAAGTACTCCAGCTTACTTGTTCGTGGGCATATCGAGTGTCAACTGGACGATGTGGTTAGCATTTTTGTTTGGAACCGGAGGCTGAACTAACTGATCGTCCTGATAGCGTTCGGACAATGTTTCGGAGGCGATGTCCATACACAAGGTATACAGTATATCTTGTTATACAGTGAGTTGGTAATATAACTCGACCACAGAAGAATCGAGTGGCGCAACGGGAGGCCGAATTGCGCGAGCTCGTCATTACTGGTCTTACGCACATGGTCAGCGCCAACTCTGAGCATGGATTCAAGCAGTGTTTGCCCCTGGCCTACAGCTCTGATCTCAAGAAACGAGCAATATTTGCAAGCGTCTTTGCCCGTGTCATCTCTCAAGGCACCAGAATTCGAGATTGAGGCAGTCCCCGCGGCCGTCAACCGGCATTCACGTTTACTGGAGCTTATGAAAGGGTTGAATGTAAACATGCCTTTGGTTGCGTCTGCGTATCTCATCGATCTATCATAGATGGTGCTTGTCATGGCTATTTGCGAGACCTGTCCACAATCTGAAGTCGAAATAATGGTTTCGGTCATGCTCAATCTCTTCGACACGCGCAGCACCCTCATGGCACTGCTTAAATACATGATCGAACGGGAGGTTGCCGCGACAGGTTTTTTCCCTTTTAATCTTGTTTTACGTTCTCCGCTAATGCATATGCCAGAAAACGAAGCTCAATTGTTCCGCAGCAACACAACTTGCACCCGGTTTCTATCGGCGTTCGCAAAAGTGCACGGCTACACTTATCTGCGAAGTTTGATTATACCGCTAATCAAAGCGATGGCAGCGGTGCCACCTGGTCATGGTTACGAGCTTGACCCAGGCAAGCCCGACGTGGGTGAAACTAAAGCCGCGCAGAATCTGGAGAATGTCAAGGTCATCGCGTCCACCTTCTTGGAGATCATTTCCATGTCCCTTCCTACACTGCTGCGTCAGTAGCTATTCTTTTGGTGATGACGACTTTGCTGATTGATGGCAGAATGTCCCGCGAAATCTGCACGCCCATCTCCAAGGTCGTGCAAAACGTGTGGCCCGACTGCAAGTTTTCTCCTATGGGAGCCTTCATCTTTCTTCGGTCAATTTTCACCTCTATCTGGCTTTATCACCACTGAAGGACTGTAGATTCATCTCGCCCGCTATTGTTGCACCAGAAACAATTGATGTGGAGATACCGAAAGACTTGACACCGGGAAGAGCAGTTGTCGATTCGTCGCGGACTTATGATCATCACCAAGATCATCCAGAATTTAGCGAATAACCTGTTCTTTGGCAAGGAGAAGCATATGCTGAACGCGTTCCTCGCAGACAACATTGCCGTCGTTACGAGATTCTTGTCTGGCAAGCATGCCTGGGACGAGCTATGCGGCTTACTCGTTGAGCTCGGGACGCCTTTGAATATTCCTAAGCTGTCTTTGGCGTCGTCGAATTGAATGAACATCGTGATTACCTGGATCTCATGGCGAGACATGCCCATCGCAGTACAGATTCCGTGAGGAGCTTTTTTTGTGGAGACGGACTCGCCTTTCAAGTTGGTATGTTCCAAGGCTGTAAACGCTGGCCATTCTCACTAAAAAGGATAAGCCGGCAGGGATGCCTTGTTAGCGAAGGAGCTTGGCTACTTCCTTGCCCTGCTGTCTGTGTTGGCCCACACACACATGTCCTATTGGAGGCTGCTCAAGAAATTCAATATCGGTGAGTTCCTACCCAAGCCTATGGGTTATCAGGCATTATGGGTTATCCTGGCTATGGGTTATGTAGACTTTGACTGTAAATTGATTAGGTCAATATGAAAGAATGTTTAAATTTGTACTTGTCCAAGCATGGAGAGATGACTTTAAATGCTGGTAATATATATATAGTATAGAATCCCAATCAGAATCCTAATCAATGATAGTCCTAGAATCTGGTCACAATATTCCAGGCTGGAACATGTGATATATTCCAGGCCGGAATATTGAATGAAAACATGTGGCAGATTGAGAATATTCTACGGATCTGCCCAACATTTTCCGGGCTGTCATATACTTGGCAGATGGTGAGAAAATTGAGAATATTCCACGGATATTCCTGTCATATTCCAGTCTAGACCACTAGGCTATCCAACCAGTCAAGTGTAAGGATTCCCATTTTCCAACACATACAGAGGGTTGCTTCTATTAGGATACATCTCACAGTTCACATCTCTCATACCATATCTTTCAGGTATGTAATCTCTAGTGATCCCCACTAGACCAATAAATATTATGACTCATAATATATGCAGTCTAGCTGTAATCTTCTTATTGATTATAGATCACAAGGGATCAAGTCCAGTTAACTCAGTACAGACACACCCCTACCCACATACTTGAATTGATTTCTGGGATGAACTGGGGAACAGTAAAAGACAGATTGAGTGTGAACTGGTTGATATGAATGATGAGGTTGATAGACTGAGTATCAGACCTTCAAAGGAGCTCTAAATTTCTAGTACAACTCTCTCTCCTGTAATATTAATTAATTCAACACCTAAAATGTATTATAGAAGGTAGCTGAATAGGGTGAAAGAGAGGTCTTAGCTGTTATAACTAGTGATTGTTTAATTTCAAGTGTGATTCCACACTTGAACCTAGGAATCTCTTCTAGTACTATTATCAGTATTCTATTATCAGTATAATCCATCCATTCAATAATAACTTCACCATAACAAAGGTAGCTGAACAGAGGATGAAAGACAGGTCTTAACTATTACAACTAGTCACTGTTTAATTTTAAGTAAAATGCAAGACTTGAATATGGGAATCTCTTATAGTACTATTATCAGTGTTATCCTATACTTATATATGGTTAGTAAACCTATGATAAATATCCAGTATGAGAAAAGAGTCGAGACAACTTAAATCAGTAGACAATAAGTGCACCTTATTTGAAACCAATTAGTTGTCAAAACATTGTGTCACATTAGTATGACTTAATTGCATTTTATCCCTTATCACATTTTATCCCTTATTTCTGATATATCAGGTACACTTTGGTGCTGTCTCTGATTTTTAATATATATGATCTTATATCTTGTGGCATATTTAGTCTATTCAAAAATTGGTAGCTGATATCAGCTTTAAGTTGGGTCCATTATAATAACTTAATATAAGTATTTTTCCAATTTCTTAAAGATCAAGTCTGCTTTCCTAGAGTTTTATTGCTATTTTTCCTAGTTATTGAAATATACATTTTTTTTGTCCAGTATTTAATATACATCTTCATTTTGTCCACCATTTATTATGAATCAATCCTTTTAAGCACCCATTTTTGGGTGAAAATCCTAGTATGAATAATAATGGCATTATCAGCAGCATCATTTGTATTTTGTATTTGCCTACCATATTCACTCTTTGGATCCTCTCCTGCTAGAACCCTGATTTCGGGCCTCCAGGGTTGCCCTTATAGATATTGCATTGTCAAAAGATAGAGATACTGTTATTAAGGTACTTGTGGTTATGAGTTCTCCAGTTAGTGAGATGACACCTTATCAGTGCTGATATAATGATAAAGCTACTACTCAAGGTCACTTGATAAAAGTTATCCAAGTACTTGGAATTCCCAACTTTGATGTAATAGCAGGACCTGGTGACATTTTCTCATGAAATTACTGGTATGCCTTATGAAAACTCCAAATTTCTTCATAGATGTATCCATAGGGGAAGTGTGGATGCCACCATGTCCTATGGATACATCCATGTCCCAATTTGGGACATATCATGGATGCAACCATGTGCTATGGTATCATCCATATGTGGATGCAACCATGTCCATATGGATATACCCACAGTTTGATACAAGTTGCCTATGGCTGCATCCACATATGACTGTGGTTGCATCCATATGTGGTATTAACCATGACTGTGGTACCGTCCATGTGAGGACTGTGGTACCATCTATGCTCATATGGATGGTACCACAGATAATTTCAAAACTACCTTATGAATGCATCCATGCATGGTATCAAGCCCAGCCATCTGCCTGGCACCATGGATGCATCCAAATCAAACATGCCGGTCGGCTTGATGCCATCAGTGATGGCCGATCGGCTGCCCAGCGCCCAATACCCTGCAAAGGCCAAGGAGTGGGGGTATGGCCAACTGGGTGGGAGCATGTGGGATATACTTTACACACACTGTACATCACTTTCCATGTACTCTAGCCTGCCTACTACCCATCTATGATGCCTGAACTGTCAACTAATCAAAAGCCAGAAAAATCAAAAAATATTCAAAACTCCATAGTCTGCCAAGCAAATCTCATGGGACTTGGCTTGTCTTGAAGAGCAAAGCCATCTCATTTTTCTAGTGCTAAGCAGGCAACCAAAAAGGCAAGGCAATAGCACTGCAAGGGTATTTTTGCCCAAAATATGCCAAAAGCACCTTCCAGCCAAACCAGTGACTTCCCCGTCACTAGATGATTGGATCAAAGAGTCCAAGAAGAGACCTAGCCGCTGCATCAAAGCGCTCATTATTTAAGCCATTTTTGAGCAAGCTATAAGCAATATACACCAACACCCAAATCAGGCAAAGCACCATGGTACCATCCACACAGCCATGGATGCACCCAAGGCTGCATGGATGGGACCATGGTGTCAGGGTTCGGGTCGGGCCAACGGGCCCTATACGGCCCATCGGGCCCTCACCACCCTTAGAGCCCTAGGGCTTGACAAGCCCTCATAATTCACAAGCTCAAAGCAATGAGCAACAACACTAATATCCCAGAGAAGGGACATAATCACGGATCGCGCTTTAGTCAGCCATCAAGCCATCATGACCCGCCATCAGGGATCATGATGCGCCGCCGGACGCCCTTGACAGCGGGCCCAATCGGCCCTAGACAACCACAGGGTCCAGGAGGGAGCTCCTTACTGTTGCATTGTCAAACACTCCTTAGTGTCGACATTGGCATGGCTCCTTTCCAGAGGAATGGTCCCTGGGCTCCTAGCGGAGCGACCAGGGACGACCAGAGACATCCCCTGCTCCATTCTGATCGACCCTCAGCGGGCCCGATCGGCCCCTAGCGCCCACAGTATATAAAGACCAGAGTATTACTCCTGTACCTTAGGTTTAGCATTGAAGTCTCTTCCTTTGAACCCTACTCCGGCCTGGTCCCCTAGAGCGGGGTTGCTGCGACCATACCCCAGGAAAGGGGCGTCTAGACGACTTCCAACACTCCAGGCTAGCTTGCCTCATTGACCTGAGCCCTTGGTTGGGCTGGACAGCTCAGGCTCTTGTCTCTTATGTTCACCCTTGTCCTAGCCACTTCTTCTTGCTCTCTGGCCTCAAGCTCTGGGTTCCCCTGGTACGGGGCGATGGGAGGGAGCGGGCCCGATCGGGCCCGCATGTCACGCGTCACACCGCGCAGTCACGCGGTGTCTAGGAGCCACAGCGACTCGTTTCTCCAGGAAAGGAGATATGTCGCCCCTTGGACTGGCAACCCTTCTCAAGCGCTCCAGGGGTCTCGGGCCCGCAGCCCCTGCTGCGGGGCGACTCCCCTCGACCCCCCGAACCGTCGGGCGTGACCGCGTTACGTCACGCCCCGCCCGAACAGCTTGTTCAACTGGCTGAGCCTGTGCTTCCCTATGCCTTGGGCACCAACTCTACTAGACAGCACTCTTTGGCTATGGACTCGTTCCCTTCAAGCGGGGTAGGACACTCTAGGCGACTACTCGTATCCCGCGACACCGCTGTCACACAACGTGACAGCGGGGCGTCTCGAGTCGCCCCGAGTTGTCCCGACCCTGCTCTCTATTGCAGCGGTGGCACCTATCTACGCCGCCTGGTTGCCAACCACCCAGCTATGGGGGTTGAACCATCTTTCCCACACTTGTCAGACTGGCAGGAGATCGTCACGTGGGCCCGGGCCGGCCCCGTTCCTGACACATGGTCATGGGTTGTGTGACACCTATGGTATCATCCACAATTTGTGGATAGCTATGGGTGATACCATGGATTTGGTACCTCTTAGGCCCAGGGTTCCATGGGTCCGATAAAGCCTAAGAGGTACCAGGTAGGGGTAGCCTGAGGTGGCAGAACCATGAACACGACAAATCAGTAAGACAACAACAAAATCAAGATGCCGACTCACTGTTTCCTGATGCCGCAAGGAGGGCGGGGCACAAATCTGGTCAACACAGAGTTCATCGCTTGTTCCGTCAAAGCGCGCGTTGCAGCCCGCAGCCCCTAACCACGCGCCCGGCCCGAGCAAACCCCACCGTGTTCGTCATTTCCGGGGCGT